AATGCAAATTATTGCAGGTGTGTTTCTGAAATGCCTTATAAAATTCATATGACGAGGAATTATATGTATATGTAGAGGGAGATTGTAGGGGGAGAGAGTCTAAAATTTATTAGGAGGGAATACTTCGAAAGAAGGGATATTTCCCTTGTATATCGAGAATTCCCTGAGACAGCCTTCTATTTTATTCAGATACTTTAGCCCCTTTAAAAATAATTTATCAAAAAATATTTAAAGAGGGTCAAATCCAATGATGAAAAACTCAAGAACGGCCTCCTTCTCAATAATTGGAGATAATAAAACATTTAATAAATCTGAATGTCCAACAACTCCTTTACAAAAGAAAAGAAGCCCAACACAATTAACTAATTATTCAATGTCTATTTCTACTCCAAAATCTTCAATTGCTTCTTGGTTTAATTGTGGGGGAGAGGTAAATAATTAATTTTATTATTAAAATTGAATATTTATTTTTAAAGAGTCCAGATCATCGACAACATTTGTTAGAATTGTGCCATAATGGACAGGTGATTATTCGAATATTATTAAATATTAAATGGATAGAAAAACTAGAAATTCCCGTAGTCAGTAAATTTAAATAAAATTTGACAACACATTTACCCTATTTGCTGAGATAATTGCCCTCTCACAAATAATTACTCCCTCCCTAATAATTACACTTCCATCGGGACATTCAAACAATTATACAAAGAAATTATTTTAGGAGGCAAATTAATTATTTTAAAATATTTTTCAGGATGTTGAACGTCTTTTACATAATCCATTAATTAAAAAATCAAATGGTAGTCCCCTACCTAATAACAATCAAAATCATCAAAGAAAAAGAATTGGAATGAGGGAGAAAAGTAGGCAAATGATTAAACAATTAAATGAACAAAGAGCAGCTAGAACATTAAGTATTGTTGTTGGAGTATTTATTTTATGTTGGACACCCTTCTTTTTATTTTCTCCAATTATTGCCTTATGTGGAGATAAAAAGGTAAAAAAATACTGAATAGTTTTAAATAATTTAATTTCTAATTAGTGAATCTTAAGTTTATCTGTGAGCATCTCCTAATTTTTTACAAATTTAAGAATAGTGGGATTAATTTTTGGGCAAGACTTAACCTTCACTTTTTATTAATAGTTCTGTCTTTTTGGCCCAAAATTCCATTTTTAAAACGTTTCCCCGATTTTACAAAATTTGTGCTTGCCCATTTTATAAACTAAAATTCACAATCAGCCCTTTAAACTTAATTAATTTAAACTAGTTTCTTTAAAAATTTTTTTTGATCTTTAGTGCTTTGAAAACCGTGATGCTGTCTTCTCAATAATTACTTGGGCTGGCCATTTAAATTCAATGTTAAATCCATTAATTTATTCAAGATTCTCACGAGACTTCCGAAAAGCATTTAAACAAATTTTAACTTGTGAAAGGGAAAGGCCGACAAAAAAGGCTATAAAGTAAGAAGAAGGGTTTTAAATTATTAAAATAAAAATTTTTTTAAATTTTCTAGAAGCCCTTTAAATATTGTACTTGCACAATTAAATAGTATGGCAATGATTGCTCCCCCTCCAATTGATAGTAATACTAAAACAGTAAATGAACAACAAAATGCTAAATATACAAACAATTCTTTATCAGTTGATTCTGATAATGATAATCAAAAATTAAATAATTTAGATAATAGATAGTTATTAATACTTTCATTATTAGAGACTTTTGGGATAGTCGAAAAAAGGATGAAAATGTGAGAGATGTTGTTAAGCTCTCAATGAAAAATTTTTTAGAAGCTCTGGGACTTTAAATTTTTTAAATTTTCGATTTAAAATAAAGAAGCCAAAATTGAAAATTTTTTCGGTATAAAAATCCACACGGGAATTAATAAAATTATTTTGGGAGTTAAGTATTTGTAAAAAGCCTTTTTGATTAACAACTCAATTTAAGCAACACCTTTGTTACTACTGAGAGTTTGCGTGTATTTTTAAAAATTTGATTCTCTTCTTCACCTTTTTTTTAAACTAATTTAAAAATTTAAAGAAATTATTTATCCAAAAATGACATCAAAATAAAAATATTTACAAAATTAGGAAAGGGAGGAAGCAAAAAAACTTTTTTAGAAAAAAACATTTTCACTATTTATGCAAAAAACAAAATTGCCAAAACAAAATTTATTACTATTTAAATTTTATTAAAATAAAAAAAGGGAAATGATGTAAATTCTTATAAAAAAGGTGAAGAAATTCAAAAAATTTTGAAATAAAACCTTTAAGTTGAGGGCTTTATTTCAAAATTTACATAAATTAATTATTCACTATTTTCCACTATTTCTTTGTTATTTACCTCAATTTTTTCACTAAATATATTTTTAGATTAAAATAAATCATTAAATAAAATATTAATTATTTTCTTAAAATTTTTTTAAAAATTAATTCCAAAATAAATAATTATTCTTCTTTTAAATTTCCAATAAAATTTTAGCAAATATTGCTACATTTATTACTAATATTTAAAATTTCTATAAAAATATAATTATTTGTTGTTGGGAATATATTTTTTGACATATTTTTATTTAATTTTAAAATTAAAGAAATATCCAATTTTGTTTTATTTTTGGTCAGTTTCTGATCCAATCCAAAGAACCAAACATAACTTTTGAATAAATTGAAAAAGTAATTTTTTAATTAATCTAAAACATACGAATGTTTCCCTTTTAGCCAGGGTCTGCCAGTAAAACATTTTTGTTTTTCATTGTTGAAAATGAGTGGTAAAATCTTTAAAATTTTATTTATTTAATAGAAAAAGTTGAAAATTTAACTGGCAACAATTAAATTTTAAATAAAGATGCCTACATTCATTTGACATTGCCCTCCTTCCTCCAAAAGGCAAAGAAAGACTTTTAGTCCTCCTACCTTTTCCTTTGTTTTGACATAATAATAGAATTGAGTACATTCATCCTCGTCCATAATTAGCGGTTTTGAACGAATATATCTTTCGGTTTTAGTTAATATTGGAAAGTATTTACTAGTTTTATTTAATATTTTTGTAGTTTCCTCTCCAATGCCAAAATAGCCATATTTATCTTTAAAAAATAGTTAAACTGATCATACATATATAAATTCAATTCGAGGATTTTTTAAAACTTTTATTTTCCTTTTCATGATTTATTCGCACCCCGTCCCCCGAAACCCCGACGAATTTTTAGGCAAAACCCCGAAGGCTCTACCCAGGCAAACCCCGATCCTCTACGATCCCACCCCCGAAGGCTTGGGGTACTGCCCTAATTTATTCTATTGACAACTTTGATAGTTTGTAGATAATAAGGATATTGCTCTCCCTTCCAGAAATTGAGAAAATAATTAAAAATATTCATGCTTATTAGGATTTGCTCTTTATCAAAATCCCTTTAAAATACCTTTATTTGTTGTTAAATTTTCTCTTTCCTTCTTGCATATTTCTTTACAACTATTTTCATTTTCAAAATAATTATCAGAATTTAGTTTACTAACACATCCATTATACCAAAAAGGCCGACAAACATTGTAATTCTGATCAAAAAAGAATGAAATTTTCCAAGGAAATTTTCCACAATTTTTTGTCAAATTTAAATTAAAAACTTCAAAACAAGCCTTCTTCTTTAAATAATTATTTATTTTTTCTTCATTTATTTTTAATTTTTTCTCAACTTTTAAATGTTCTTTTATTTTGTGATTTTCTTTTAAACATTTATCTTCTTTTATCCATTTTAATTTTGCTTGTTTATCTTTCTCCTTTTTGTCAACACCATTTGGTTGATTTTTTAAAGTTAGTTTAATTCTGTGAGGATGTTGAGGATACTGAAATTATATTCTATATAGAAGAGTTAAGCGGTATCGGTATTAGAAAAATCGGTATTGGGATTAAAAAAACCGGTACAATACCGCCCGTTACCGGTCGAGATCTCGATACCCCTCAACCCTATTATATAGTTAAAAATTAGTAAAATATTTTTAATGAGTTATTTTTAATTTAAGAGAAATATTAAAATTTTTCATATGATAATCAAGAAACTGCATTTTTGTGCATTATTTTTTGTTATTTTCAAGCTTTTTATTTTAGATGAAATAGTATTAATAAATTAAATTACTTCGTTTGTCATTCCTTCACAAATTTGTTGGCATTCAATTAAATTATTAAATAAATTTCTGGGCCTCTTAAAATAATTATTTAAATCCTTCACATAATTATTTCCAACTTCATTCATTATTTCTTCCCTAAAACAACTTGCATCCATCCAAAATGGCCGACATCTTAAAATATTCGAGTCAAAAAAGTATCGTTGTTTCCAAATTCCTATTGCACAGGGCCGTCTTAGGGAGTGATCAAAGGGTTCTAAACAATTTTGTGATGTTTTTTGGGAAGATTGAGCTTGAAAATTATTTTGAAAATTTTGAGAATTTTTAAAAATCTAACTCGAAATTCTATTCGTTTGTAGATAAAAATCATTCCAGTTGTTCATTCCTTCCTCTCTTTCATCTAAAAATTGTCTTCGCTCTTCCAGCTTTAAATAATTGCCACAAAAAGACTCGCAGCTCAAAAATTGGTGAAAATGAAAATTAAAAAATTTATTATTTAATTACTTGTTGGTCTAGAAAAAAGTTTTGAGCATCTGCTAATTGACAACCACCATACCAAAATAGGCGACAACGTTCTGAATTTTTGTTAAAATACCAGCGAGCTTGCAGATTATTTTCATTTCCATTTACCAAACATTGGCGCTCATATCGACGATCAAATGGTTGTGCACAAATTTCTAGAAAGTTGGAAGAAGAAATTTTGGTTTTAAATATCTTTTAAGAATTTGAGTTTATTGAAAGTTTATTTCAATAAGTTGTAGTTAAAATCATATCCATCTCCATCTTCAACTCTTTCGAATTCCCAATCCAGATTGAGATTGGAAATTTCCTTATTTCTGTCTTTATTTCCATTGAGTATTTATTTTTCGAATCTTAATTCTTAAAAATCATAGATCGGGAAAAATATTTTGTTTACAAGTTACACATATTTTAAGATAATTACACATATTTAAGATAAAATTTTTATTAAAATAAATACTTTGGTCTTTAGTACAGTTTAAGCCGCTACCGGCATATCCAGGTTTACATTCAAATAATTTTTTAAATACTTCATAATTATTATTTGTATTTTTACCTTAAAATTATTTAATTATTTTATTTTAACGTCGAATACTTAACGATTTTGAATAGAAAGTTTTGCAATTATTTTAGTTTTTCGGTGTTTATGTTGTTTAGGTGAACAACGTTTTCGACATTTGCGTTTATTAAGAAAACGATTTCGATTTCCTCCACAACCACTAGAAATAAATATTCTTTATTTATTAAAAAATCTTTTTAATTTTATAAAAGAATAGCCTGAAAGAATTTTGTAACTCTCAAAAAATTCATTTTTAGGCTTCACAGAACTTTATTTTAACTAGCGTCTTTCTAAGCAGTGCTTGGACGCTCGTACCAAAATTCGTACTCGTACACGTACCTCGTACTTGGTATAAAGTACGAGTACGAACAAAAAAATGGGGGTGGTACGAAGTACGAGTCGAGCCTGTTTCTAAGCGTATTCTTCTTCTAGAGAGAACCGACAATTAATTAATACTTAAAGTGCAGCCCATTTTTAGGGAATATTAAGCTACTAATTATTAATCATGAATTTACGTGTAAAAATACTTTAGACATTGTCCACTTTTCACATCCCAATAAAACCTAGGTAATTTTCTAGAGCAATTTCCATAATTTAGAGGTTGCTAAAAATACATATTTAATTTTTATTAAATTTTTGTTTAAAGAACACCTTGCAAATAGCAATTCTATTTATTGTACTAAAAAGTTGTTGTGGATGGATGTCAGGTTTTATTTCAATTGGGTGAAGAGTATAAGTTTCATTTGCAAGAATAAAGTAATTTTTTACGAAAGAAATTAAATTTAATAAAATAATAAAATTAATAAACATTAATTATTTATCTACAACAGAAAATATTTTAATGGTTTAATTTAAATTTTTAAAACTGCTATTAAAAATATTAGAAAGTATTTTCCAATATTTTGTATATATTCCCCCCTTGTAGCCCGGAGTCTGATCTATCAAAAAATAACATCATTTCACTTCTTTAAAAAATTTCTTACGGGACGTGTAATTAAACAAAAATAAATAAATTTTAGATCTTTATAAATTAATTATTTTAACAAAATATTTAAATAAATTTTTTTGTTGTTTTATTTTCTTTTAAAATAAAATAAATATTCTTCTTTATATAAACTCTTGTTTTCTTCAATTGGGATAAGTTTGTTTAAAAAAGTTTTTAGAATGGAAGGCTATTTAATTCCCTTTAGGGAATTAAAAACAATTTTTGCTTCAATAAGACTCGGCGGGATACAAAAACAGAAAAAACATAAAAACATATAAAAATACTTCCACGTTTAAATTTAAAGTACAATTTACAAAAAAGACGATAAATTAGTTTCTAGAGATATTTAAAATAATATTTTGAAGACTTTTATTTAGAACTTGAAAACAAAACAAAAAAAATAATTTTATAATTATTTATCCACAAAATCAAAAAGTATAGTGATAATTTACCAAAATTTTAATTCAATATTCTTTTAACTTTGTCTATGATAGGTCCTATGTACCTTGATTATATTTTTAATTGGAATAATTTAAATTACATTTATTAAAAAATTTTTTATGCATTATAGGCTCATATGAAAATTTTGAAATGGGGTTTTAGTTATAATTTCCAATATTATGCTAAAATCCTTCATTCGATATTTTTAGGATTTTATTTGTCAAATCTCAGTTATTTTTACAATTTTATTTAAATTCTAAATTTTCGAAATTCTTTTTAAAATAACTTTGTTTTTATATAACTTTTTATAAATAACTTCATTTATCAATAAAAATGTTTTTTTAATAAAGTTTAACTAATTAGCATTTTTATATGTTTCAGATTTTCACAATAATTTTTAAATTATTTTAAGTTAAAAGAGGAAATAAAAATTTAAAATTTTAAATTAATATTTCTAATTTTAGATTTATTTTGAAACAATATAAATAAATTATATTTTCTATTCATAGACTCCATTTATAGCATAGACTTCATTTACTTATAGAGTCGAGAATTAAATTCTAATTTAAATAATTTTTTTAAAAGATGTGATTCTCTTAAAATAAAATGTATTGAGTTGTTTCTCTTCAATATTCTTTTTCAAAATAATTCTTTTCCTTATTAGTAATTTCTTCAGTTGCCTTGTAAATTTAATATTTTTATGTCCTTATATTTAAGAATCCATTATTGTTTCAAAAAATGATTTTTTTTGTTTTGGACAAATTTTTTCTGAACTTGGCCCCAATTTTCAAGCCAACTTTAGTGTAAACAATATAGTTTTACACATATGTTATTTAGTTTTTGCTTTTTCTAACAAATAACAATTTATTTAAGTTGAAGGTTTTATTTTATTCTTTATTTATTATTTTCTGATATTCTATCTTTTAAATTTATAGTTATGTATTATAAATCTTATTTTTTTAATTGTTCACGCAACAAGGTTTCCATGGCTCCTAAATTTCTTTTGAGAGTCGCACAAAAGTCAGAGCTGACGTTTGAATTGGGTATTATAGAAGCCTTTTGAGGAAAGGCCAAAGAAAGAGGAACAGAACGGCCTCACGTCTTTAAGGCTAAAAACACCTTAAGGCACAAAATCTTTTTTAATCTACCTACATATTTCTCTCTCACAAAATATTATCATTTATGTTCTTGGTTTTAAAGCTAAAAGGCGAATTATAATTGCGGACAGATCCATACGGATTATAAATTGAGGACTTGTTGTATCCTTCAAATAAAATCTTTTGTTTAGCTTCAGGAAGGCTGTAATAGTTACTGGTCGAACTAGTTTCTATTAAATTTATTTTATTTAAATATACCCTCTATACACAACAATTTCTATTAACTATCTAGAACTGTAATCCTTAAATTTCAACCAGAAAGTGTCTAACTAAAAAATAATAAGTCAATTTCGTCAATTATAGTTATTTTTCTAAAAAGTTAACAAAAATCAGAACACAAAATTAATTTATATTTTTCATTTATTCTTTTAGTACTCCCACTCATTTGCCCTTAACAACTACCTACTTGAGAATAAATTACATAGACAGCTGCAAAAAACAGAAAATATTGTATTTGTGCGTGTGTATTTTTTAACAGCTTTTCACTTTTAAACAAAATATTTTTTTGTCTTTACTTAAATATATTCTCATTAAATATTCAAAAAAATGGCACCAAAAGGAAGTAATAATAATAATATAGCTTCTCTTATTCCACTTAAAATTATACCTGGACAGAATTTAACAACTTCAACATTTGAACCACAAAAACCTCAAAAGTATTTTTTTAATTTAGAAATTATAATTTGCAAAAAATATGTAAAAATTTTTAATTAATTTTTTGGAATAAAAATGCCTGAAATTAGCTGTAATTCTGATATCCTTTTTAAATTAAAATTAATTTTTATAAAATATTCCAAAAATAAAATACTTATTTTTATATATCTATTTTGTTTAAATTCACAACTAAAAATAAAAATTATTAAATTTTTTTTTTATTTTTTCAAATAATTTCTCAACGTTAAAATTAATTTTATTTTTATCTCAAAATATTTTTGCAACCTTTTCTGAAATTATTTTTTATAAATAAATATTTAATTTGTTTTGTATACATAACATTTAGCTGCTAAAAGCTTTATAAAATATTTAATATTTCTTTGTTTCTATTTTCTATATTTGGAAAACTTTCCCGTAAACAAATAAGAATAATAAAATTATTTCCTTTACCATTCAAATAAAAATTAATAGTTTTTTAAAAATAAATAGATAAACAAAATAAAAGAAAATAAAAAAATATTTGCATTATTTTATAGCTGGGGTTAGGCATTTTTGGTCATTCGGATCCAAAAAAAGTCTGGATCTATTGAAATTTTTTGTTCCTATTGAATCCGAATATTCAAAGGTCTCCAAATATTTACTAACCGTTAAGTCCAGGCTAACCTGGCCCAGATCTATTCAAATTTTTTCCAAATTTACTTTAATATCTTGTTTGTTCCGTGTCCACAATCCAGCGAATTTTTGATTTATGGGAGAGATTTTGCGCGATGGGAAGGGGAGGAATTACTATCTTGTTAATTATTTAAAAATAATTTTAAAATATTCTTTTTAAAATTATTTTTTAAAGAAATTCGAAACAACAAAAACAACAAAAAATGATACTTCCTAAAACAGAAGGAAAACACAAAATTTTAACAAAAAAATTGACTGATGTATTAGATAATCGTCCTTTAAATAAAACTTTTACTATAGCCAAAAGTTCGAATAATATAAATAATGAAGATGATAAATTTAACAGAAAAAGAAGTAACAGTTTTGATTCGGATTTTGTTGATTTTGGAAAAGGTGCTTTTAATTTGATATTAAATTAAAAACATTTGTCTAAAATTAGATTTATTTATTTTTTTTATTAAATATTTTTATTTGATTGACTTGTTTTGACAAATAAAAACAGCCCTTTACAAATAAATTCAATAAATAAATAAATAAAATAATTTAGTAAATAAATAAACGTCATTTTATTTTTTTAATTTTTAAATAATTTTGGATTTAATATCAATAAAAAATTAAATTTAAATTTTAGGTGGAACATTAAGAATAAGAGTAGAAAAAACTTGTTTTGCAATGGATTGGGGAAGTAAAGAATTATTAAAAGGAAGAAAATCAGGGAATAATATTAGTCCAAATAATTCAAAACAAAATAAAGAAAAATTAGAAAGAAGAGAATTAAATAAAAATAAAGATTCTAATACTCCAAAATTGCCATCTTTGGAAGGATTTTTGCCTGGAAGGACTTGCTGTCAATTACAATTTTGTAGATTTTCTAATTTGGAGTTGCTTAAATACAAGAGGAATTTAATGAATTAATTTTTGTATTTTTAATGCCTCAAAGAATATTTTTTTAAATTAAATGTTTTGTATTAATATTCACCTCAATTCTTTTAAAATTTTGTAAATAAATTTGTTTAAAATATTTTTTAACTTCAAAAAATTCGAAAATGAGTCGAAAATGAGTCTTAAACAAGCATAGGCTGTTACTCGCCTTTCAATGCAGGATTATGGCTTAGTTTGCGCGCTTACTTTAAAACGAAATAAGAATGAGGTTCGAACTTTTTCAATGAAAATGACTTATATGTATTTTACATCTTACGTTTATATTTGACCGTATCTTTTTCAAATTTTTCATACGCTCATTTTTGCTTCAGATATCAGAAGTTGGGGGACTAAAAATTTTTTGGTTTATTTTCTAAAGAAAGAAAAGGAATTTTTATTTAACCAATTAAGAAAAATGAAAATTTAGAATTATCAATGTAACTTTCTCCTTGTTCAACTTAGTACATTAAAAATTAAAAAAACTCAAAAGTTAAAAAGCTTTATTACTTTATTTAGAACATCCATTCAAATTTATTTTTCTTTTTATTTTCTAAATTTCTTTAAATCTTTCTTTTATTTAAAAATTGGATTACGCAAATTTAGGATTTCCTCAGTTCGTTCTTTTTAAAAAATAAACAGACTTATTTTCAAAATAAAAATATTTTTACATTTTTTATCAATAAAAAATGTATTTATTTCCTTTCTAAGTTACTTAAATATTAAGATTATTTTTTTATGAAAAATTGTTCCTGTTAGTCTAATTTAACAAAAATTAATAAAAATCTATCACAATTAATTAAGAATTTTATATAAATTTATTTTGACTTTTTTTTAAATAAAAATTCTTTTGTTTTGAATTAGTTTTTGTTTATAATTTTTTATTTTCTTTTTTTAAACTCTCAAAAAATATTTCCAACAGAGAATTATTGAAAAAAAACTTTATGAATTAAAAAAATTATTTATTATTTTTTCAACAGGAGTGAATACTAGGTAGTATTTTGTAATTTTTGAAACAAAAAATATTATTTTAAAAATTTACCTAAAATATATTTTAACTTCTTACTACTTCAAGATTATTGCAAAAAATTGATTTATTAAAAAAATTAATGAAACTATCAATTATTCCTTTACTTTCACACATAATTATTAAGTAATTATTTAACCAATATTTTAATTTAACTTTACTATAATTTAATTATTTTTTTTTAATTTTTAATTAATTTTTGATTTATATTTTTATTTACTAATTATCTTTCAAAAATTAATCTTAATTTAAATATTATCACAAAGATTAATTTCATGTCTTCAAGGGTTATTTTGTTGTAAATTCTAATTTTAATATATCTCGATTGAGCCTATCAGATGTTAAAAAATATATTACAAATCTGACTTAAAATAAAAAAATCTCTTATTTAACATACAAAAATATCCATTATAATCTAAAAATTAGTAGTTTTTTATGTCAATATTACTCTCTATCATCAAATATTCTTAAAAGATTTTTTTCGAGAGAACATAATAATTCAATTTATTTTTAGGCATAGGACATAAAAATAAAAAAAATGTTAGGAAATGGCCGAAAAGTTGGGAGAGGTCCATCATTGAAGAGATAAAATTATTTTTTTTTTATTTTTAATGGAAAAAGGAGGGGAAGGCAAAAGTGGCATTTTCCTCTCATTCAATCATATTATTATTTTTTTTATGTAAATAGTGACAGACCGTTGGCCATTTTTTAAAAGTTTTTTTGCATGTTCTCTACATTGAGTGTTGAAATGTTGAAAAATAAATAAAAGTATTTCAGGATAAATTCAAATTAATTTTATATAAACGGGAAAAATTTTAACAAAAATATTTCAGTAGAAAATAGCTAAAAATGCTATATAGTCATGTAACTTTATTAATGCTAAGAGTTATGGATGTTGTTACTAAAACATCTGTCCAGCAATCTGCAAGAATGCTTGTTGCCGAAATTCCGGGTGATATTCAAGTAAAGAATTTTAAAATTTTAAAATTATATTAATAAATGGATATTATTTAATTGTTAATAAAATTTATTTAAAATTAAATAAAAAATAATTAAATTAAAAGATTGGTGCTCTTTTCCCAATGCATCGTCAAATAGCTGGTGCTGAGGGGTGTGGTGCTATTTGGGAACAATATGGTTATTTAGCATCAAAAAACTATATCGTTATTAATTATAAAGGAATTCAACGTGCTGAAGTAGCAATACTTACGATCCAAGAATTAAATAAAATACTTCCATTCCGGCTTGGAATAAGTATTCGAGACTCTTGTTGGACAGAAAGAATAGCAATGGAACAAGTTTCATTTAAAATATATCCTCTCAAATACCTAATTATTTTATCAAAAAAAAAGACAATAGCATTTTTGAGAGAGGGTGTTACTCAATGTTCTTGTTGTCAAACAGCTGGATGTCAAAAGAAGGCAAACCCTGTTGTTGCTATTGTTGGCCCTGCAAAGTCTTCAACTACCATAGCTGTACAGAACCTTCTTCAAGTCTTTCGAATACCCCAAATTGGATACGCCGCTACCACTACAGATTTAAGTGATAAAGAACAGTTTGGATATTATCTTAGGTATTATTTAAAGACAAGCATGCGTAAATATAAATAAATTTTTATTTCAATATTTTGCTAAAAATATCGCAATTTCTTATTCTTAAATAGGTAATATAAACTTTACAGAGTTGTGCCTTCCGACGCCTGGCAAGCTATGGCTATCAGCCAACTTTTAATGCATTTCGGGTGGACTTATATTGCTGTTGTTTATAGCGCTGGTAATTTAAAATATAAAATTAAGAATATTTCGTTTGTAGGAAATTATGGCGAGAAGGGATTTGAAGCAATGGAGCGCCTTACACACGCCCCGGGTATTGATGTTTGTATAGCACATGCACAAAAAGTAAAAACTATGGGAGAGAATGAAGAATTTGAGAATGTACTTCTTGTATTGAATGAATTAAATCCTCGTCCTAAAGTGGTTAGGAATTGCCAAAAAATTATTATAAAAAATAACATTATTTAACTAAAGGTTGTTTGTTTTTGTGAGGGAAGAAGTTTAAATAAATTATTCCAAGCTCAAAAAGCATTAAGAATGGGCAAACGCTCATCAATAACTACTTATAACAATACAACATTTGATAAAGGGATAAAACGCATTGAGGCTTTTCAATGGATTGGAAGTGATGGATGGGCGGATAGGTGTTATATTTTATTTTATTTTTTTTATATTTTTTAACTTTAGATTTAACTTAAATTAATAAATTCAATTTTTATTTCCAAATTTTTATTACAGACTAGATGTAGTTGAAGGCGTTGAAACTGAGGCTGCCGGAAGCTTTTCTTTCCGTATTCATTCCCCTCGAGTCGAAAAATTCGAGCCATATTATTATTCACTAGAGCCGGCCAATCAAAGTATAAAGAATCCCTGGTTTAGAGAATTTTGGCAACAAAAATTTAAATGTCTTTTAACCGTTCCTAAGGATGATACTTTTTCCGAACTTTGTGATGTTAGTTCTCAGAATTTATCTGTTGGCTATGAACAGGACCCAAAACTTAGTCAGGTGAAGAATAATTTTAGATTCTTCTACAAAATTAAAATTTTATTTAACAATTGTGTTAATTTATACTAACTAAATAAACAAGCTTGTCAGTAAATTCTACCGACATTCAAAAATACTCAAAAACAAATCTCAACTTCTCTAAAATCCAAAAAATAGTGAAACGATAAATTAAATAAAATTAAAATAAAATACAACATATAGAGTAAATATATGTGATGGAAAGCAATTGAAAATACCTTTGTTAAATAATAATTTAATTTACTAGTATCAAATCTTTTTATTAAATTTAAAATACAAATCAACATTTTAAATCAGCTTTATTTTTTCAGGTTATGAATGCTATCCGAGTAGTTGGGTAAGCCCAAAAAAAATATTTTTTTTCCAAAATTTCTCCATTGCAAAAACTTTAAAATATTAAAGATATGCCTTGAGAGATATGTATAACGATAAATGTCAATCAACAATTTTAAAACAAAATAAATTAAAAACAAATATTAATATATCCTTTCCCTCATCTAACGCCGCTTTATTTAATGCTCATTTCGGTTTACCTTGTCCAGAAATGGAAACAATTAATGGAACTTTATTATTTAGGTATTTAATTTAATAAAAATATTCTTAATTTAAAATGAAGATACATGATGAATGTTAGTTTTGAAGATGAATTTCAACAAGAAATATCGTTTGATGAGAGTGGAGACCCTCCTGCTTGGTTAGAAATTTTATTAGAAATTTGGGTGTATATGAATGGCATTCACGTATTTTGGCATCCATGTTGAATAGTTTTGGGTGCACAGACACTGACGATAAATAAAGATCAAGACACTTTATGCTTGATATAGATCTATTGTAACTCCTGATATCGTCTCACGGCCCTCCCATTTCTCCTGTTTTTGGAATTATATATAAGTATTTCACCCATAGTTCCCATCTTCCATTAAAGAAAGATTTTTTGTTAAAGGTATGATATTCTAAATTATGTTGGTTATGATGGTTTTCGAAAGGCTGGGGATTGGAAAAAAGGTAATACATATGAAAATTAATAGAGTATTTTTTAAAATTTCTAGGAGTTGCTGGAACTTTCAAAGAAGAAATGGGTGCTGGCATTAAAAGTTCTGTTGCACATAAATTAAAAATGAAAAATCGAGAATTAATGTTTTATGACAAAACATCAAAAATGCCTGAGTTTGTTTGAAAAATAATTAAAATATTTTTTAAAAATTAATTTTGTTCAGGTCAGTATGTAGTAAACCTTGTAGGTTTGGACAGAGAAGAAGGTATAGAATATTTATCAAAATATTATGTACATAATATTTTGATTGTACATGTATATACTTTAAGTTGTTAATTATAAAGTTTGAAATTTATTAAAATATTTTTTGGTTGTGAAAACAAAAATTAATCTACTACATAACCCAAGTAGAGATTTAGTACTGAAAAATTAATTTAAAAAATTATATTTAACATAAATTATCATTATTAAGCAAGTTAAATTAATTATAGAATTCTTTAGATAAAATTTTTAAAAGAATCTTTAATTTAATATTTATATATATATATATAAATTAAAGACAAACAACAGCTTGTTGCTGGATTTGTGAATCTTGTGCTGAAGGCGAAATTGTTAGAAATAATCTTTGTCAAAAATGTCCCTTCGGGGAATGGCCTGATTCCGAAAACAGAACAAGTAATGATAAATTTATTTTAATTAAATTTAATTTAAAACAGTTTGTCTTCGTTTACAACACGAATATCTGGAAATAACGGCTTCAATTGCCCCAATGATTGCTATTGCTTTTGCTACTTTAGGAATTATTTGTGCATCCTTAGTTATTTTATTGTTTCTCTTACATAATTCCACACCTGTTGTTAAAGTAAATAATTTTTAATTTTTAGAAAAATTATTATCTGGATAATAATTAGCTCATTATTATTTACAATAAAATTAAGCACAGGAATTTTTATGACTTTTTCCTCAAATTTCTGTTGTTTTGTAATTATTTCTGAAGTTATGGTCGAGGAATTTGAAATATAATCAAGTTTTTACTCGAAAATTTGACAACATTTTTGGGCATAATTTCGAGAATACCAAATAAAAAATTTTGAAATTCTTAGTGGAGTTACATAACTTTGTTTTGCTGATATTCTTTCAAAATTTTAGGATTTTAGGTTCTTTGGCCAATTTATTAAAACACACGCAAAACTCACACAAACTTTCCCATTTTTCATTATAAAATAAATAATTTAAATTAAATTTTAAAGGCAACAACAAGAGAACTTTCTTATATAATTCTTGGAGGAATTGTTGCTGGGTATTTATGTAGTTTTGCATTATTAGCTAGGCCATCATTTATTGCCTGTTTCTTTTCTCGAACACTTCCACCTATAGCTTTTGCTAGTATTTATTCAGCACTTTTTACAAAAACGAATAGAATTGCAAGAATTTTGGCTGGAAGTAAAAAAAGAATTTTAACTAAAAAGCCAAGATTTTTGAGTACTTTTAGTCAAGTAATTAATTAATTTGTAAAAATTTTAATTTTTATTTAAAATTAAAAAGGTATTAATTACTTGGACATTAGTTGGTATTCAATGCATTATTGTTGCTATTGGACTTGTAAAGGAATTCCCAAAAGCGAGTTTTGATGAAAATTTTGCCCCTGTATGTTTTTATTATTCTGAGGATATAAGGGAAATGATAAACGGGGATGATATATAGAAAATTCTTATCAAAGAAAATTTTAGCTTTAAAGGATGTATCAGTCAAAAATTAAAACGGATCGAAAAAATTTAGAAATAATCTTACAACGAATATGATTCTTCGTCAATCCTTTTAGGGGGGTTATATGTATTAAGGCCGGTCGCAGCTGCAGTTAAGGACTTTATAAAATTGAGGATTGTTGCTTTGTATACTGTATTTACGATTGCGACATTCCTAATTTATATCATGTAGGAAATATAAATCTAAATAATTAAGAGAAGAATGGTTCTTACTTGTGCAATTTCCACAATGGCATTTATGGCACCTTTTGCTTGGAATTTTATTCTTGTATTCTAAAAATATTAAAAAAAATATTTTTTATTTTTTATGTTTTATTCTGCACTTTATATGCATTCAAAACGAGAAACTTACCCGAAAATTTTAATGAAGCAAAATTTATAGGATTTACTATGTATGTCAATTAATTCAAATATTTTTTCTAAAGTTTTAAATATTTATTTAAAGGTATTGTACTTTAGTAACTTGGTGTGCATTTGTTGTGCTCTACGTTAACTCCCTTAATAAAGTTATTATTTTTTTAATTTTGAAATTAGATTAGACTAGAATTTTTTGAGTTTTTATCAATTTTGCAGAGCCAGGCTATACTAAATTTAAATTTGAAATTCTAAAAAAATTTTTTTATCAAAAACAAAACTTCACTCTTTACGAGTGCTTAAAATTTATTAAAAATATAATTCTAATGGATTATTAAATTTAAAATATTTTTACAATTTTTATTTTTCTTTCAGGCCCTCACTGCCAGCTTTACATTTTCTCTATCAGCTTCAATAGCTTTATCTTTACTTTTTTTCCCCAAATGTTTTATAATTTTATTAAGACCAGAAAAAAATGTTAGATCATCATATACAACAACAAAACTTATTCGGTGCCATTTTGGTAATGCTCCAAGTACTTTTACTGACAGCAAACATGGAATTTCTTTTCTTTCAAAAACAAGAAATAGTTCACAGTCATTATCAATTGGGGCAGGTTCTTGTCCAACAAGAACAGCTTCTTTACATGTTGTTAATCAAAATAATATTATTAGTGGTGGAGGAGGGGGAGGAATTTCAAATTTATCTGGAAGTTATTCTATTGGAAATCAGGCAACAAAATTTTTTAGTTTTATAAAAATTAGGAGAGGAATACATATATTTAATTGAATCAAAGTAGGGCTAATAGTTCTTAATAATTCTGCAGATATCCAGAACATAATAGAAGAACCGAATCGGAAGATTCTTAGTTTTTTTATCGGTTCCGAACCGACAATGCTATTAGGAGGAACAGCTGAACAATTATAAAATTCAAATATTTTTTTGGGGTTTCTATATAATTATAAACAATAAAATTAGACAAATAATAAATTAATTCTTAAAATAAATTAAAAATAAATTCTCTTTGAAAATATTGCCCTTTGATAAATTCAAAACATTGCCCTTTTTTATTTAATTTCGCTTTATCTATTTTTGCTGTACGTTATTTTATCACATGCTCGCATGTGATTTTGTTTGCATGTGATTTTTATATTTATTAAAAATCACATGGATTTGCGCGTGTGATCAATCACACATAAACGCATGTGATTAATCATATCTACAACGTGTCGAAACAAAAACGGAACGTACAAAACACGGACTTAAAAAACTTTAAGCATTTATTACTTTAATCTTGTTGAGATTTTCAAAAAATTTTGATTCCAAAATAGGCAAATAATTAATTAAATTATTAAAATATTTAACGATTATTTATTAATTAAACAGCTTTCTGACAATAAATCATCTACTTGTCCTCAACATTTACTTCATCACAGTCCACGAAGAGTAAATATGCAAACTCAAACAGAAGTTTCCTCAATAGCTTTCTCCAATCAAACAACTGGTTTTGGTAACCGCATTACCCGAACATTTTCTGTTATTGGAGCTGTTGCTGGAAGTAGTGGCGGAAATGAAGAAAGGGGATTAAAAGGATCTCCTGTTGGGAAAAATGAAAATAGTAAATTAAGTATTGGAAGTAAAGTTGAGAGGTTTGGAAGAAGTGGGGACATTAGGGAAAGGAAAAATAGAAGAAAAACGTTGGATGATGATGTTTTGCAATTAATTGAGTCTTGTCGAAGATACCAAGCAAGTTTATTTAGTATATTCAGTAATTCATGATCAACTTTTAAGGATGAACGTATATTAATCAATCCTACAACTATCGGAAATTTATTATTAGAAGAAGCGCCAGAAGATGTTTTGAATGAACCAGAGGGAAGGGGTGAAATAGTCTCGGAAATGTTAGCTGGTACTATTCGTGGATTGGCACAAACAGTATCTAGAACAGCAACAAGTGGAATAAAGGTGTTCTACTTAAAAGAGAATTTTAATTTATAATAATTCTATAGTCTGAAGAATTGAAAGGAACAACACATTCGCTCAAGCAAAAGCTTGAAAGAGAAGATGATTCCCCAAGCTCTCCTGAATTAGCACCTGTTTCCTCATTCCCAACTCGTTCATCAATTCGTTCTGCTGGTGGAAGAGGAGCTAATGAAATGCATGTTGATTTTGCTTCTGTAATTGGAAGTGATAAACAAATAAAAAAATTAAAAAATCGTTCGGAAGAAGTTGAAGAACAAAAAATACTTGATGAAACAGGAATGGGAGAGGACAGCTTTGAAAACGTATATCTTTTCCATTTTTCAAATTATTTATATAAAATAATCTTAGACGATAACATTTTTTAGGCATTTAATACTTTGATTTTGTTAAAATTCTTGGGATAAACATGTTAAAAAGAAATTAAGCAATAAAGTCATAATTCAAAAATATAGAAAGTCTTTTACCTTTTCCAAGTTCCAGTCAAAAAAGTTGACATAATTTTTTTAACTTTTTTAAAGAATTTTATTACAAATACTTTTAAATAAAAATATTTTAGTTACTGCGCAGCAAAGGCTTCAATCCGGTGCAATTTAGCAACCCTACTCAACTATAATACGAAATGTGATCTCAATAAAAAATTTCTTTCGATATTTTTGATAATTTTCTTAGGAAAATATTTTATTTTTAAGTTTTAATAAAAGTTTTTTCATAACAAAAAAATTATTATTAAATAAATAAATAATTAAATATAATAAACATAAATTAAAAATAAATTCTCTTTGAAAATATTGCCCTCAAAATATTGCCCTTTTTTATCGAATTTCGCTTTATCTATTTTTGATGTACGTTATTTTATCACATGCTCCCATATGATTTTGTTTGCATGTGATTTTTATATTTATTAAAAATCACATGGATTTGCGCGTGTGATCAATCACACATACAACGCATGTGATTGATCATATCTACAACAGGGGTGCTTGTGATTGTCAATTGTCAAAAAATGTTATTAGAGTCCATATTTCAGGATTTATTATATTTGAGTCTCTAATTTTCTATTATTTTTATCTTTTAATTATCGTTATCATGTTTCTAACAAAAACATAATTATAGTTATGTTAGAAATCCAAATTTTTAAATATGCACTATTTTTTTATTAAAAATAAATATTTCTATAATTAAACTGCATTCATTCACAATAAATTTCCGCCACTTTTAAATAAAGTTCAACGGGATCCAGATGTGGATCGGGCGGAATTATACAGGTTTTTTGAATCCCGAACGGTTTCTACCAATCCCGATCTGTTTAGGGTTTACATTTATGTAAGGTGTCTTTACGGGTACCCGTAACTGGAAATGTCCACTATCCAGAAAAATTCGGTTTGGTTATCTGTTCAAGATATCCGAATATATCTAAGAATCGACCACATTATTGTAATTATTACAAGGGCAAATAAAGAATTCTGACATTTTTTTGAAGTTTTAAGGTTTTTAGCTAAATGGAAAATTTTAATGTTTCCGTTCATTTCCAATTCAGCTTTTATTTGAATTTAAATTTTCTATTAATTTTTTTTTCTATAAATTTTAATTTAAATTTTCTATAAATTAAAATTTTCTAAAATTTAAATTTTCTATTAAATAATATTTATTTGTTTAATAAATTGAAAGTAGTTATAAAAAATATTATTTTAAAAAGTGAATTAAGTTTAAATAACAGTTCAGCGGGATAGCGATCTGAATCGGGCGGGTTATCCCGGGTTTTTAATCCCGATCCCGATTTTGTTGACCACTAGCAAAAAATAAATCCCGATCACATTTCCCCGACGGCTGAAGAAGATGAAGCTGATTTTTCTAATTTTTTAAAAATTTTTCTAATTTTTCTAATTCAAATGATTTTGAATATGTATAATTAATTTATGTTTGTTTATTTTTTAAAATTGTTGGATGGATTTATTCTTGCCATACGTGAATCTGATACCGATTTTTCAATCTCGGGGTCATCATTCCAAAATGCCGAACCCGATTCTTTGATGGAAACCCGATAAGGATTTAAAGGATTTTTTAACTAAATAAAAGTTTTTAATTAAATTGAAAAATTAGTATCTAAGGAATTTTTTAGATATTCTTATTTATTTAGACATCTTCTCTACATTCTCAATCAAGTGATATTCTCAATGCCCTCCTCGCTCTTGACAAAATTTAATAACGTTTTAAATTTTTTTCCCGCCCATACTTATTATACGCCCATAATCAAGGAATTTATAAAGCCCCAATTTACTGTTAAATGCTCATTTAAATATTTAATTTTTTATAAATTCTACATTATTAATAAAATTTAATTATTCTTTTTATTTTTTAAATAATTATTTAGTAATAAATATCTAAAATATTTGAAATCAGAAATTCTAAAATCAAAAATTTCTCAAAAAACTGTAAAGCTGGTACCTCAAAAAACCTTGGGGGTACCTCAAAATTTTTATTTGTTAATAATTTTAGAAAATTTAAGTTAATGCACAAATCACTCAAAATTATTTTTCTTGTGATACTCAAACTGTTTTTGCCTGTAAAATATATTTTTAAAAACGTTTACTGCCCATATCACTCACTGCCCATTTAACTCACTGCCCAACATAATTACTAGGACGTCGATATTTTTTATGCATATCTACCTATTTAATTAATTTAGTAACTACTTCCAATTTCTGTTTTTAGATGAAACGGAAGAAATCATTCCTGATATTTTTTCTGTTTTATTTGTTTACTTCTCTGATACAAAATGGAAATTCAGAAAATTCAAAAACAGGTTCAAGCCGGAAAAGTTTTGTGCGAAATAGTTCAAAAATTAGTTCAATGTCTGGAGAAAAACCAAATTATGAACATGTCGGATATAAAACTGACAAAATTGTTGCTGAGGAATATGTTCAGAAATTGGTTGGGCCTAACCAATATTTCTTACCTGAAACGATTGATGCTGCTATATTCTGCTATGAAGAGATAAATAAAGATATGCCAAAAAAAGAAAACTCCGAAAAAACTAAAGAAACAGTTGGAGAAGCTAGTGAAACCCCAAAAGATTTAAAAGGATGTAAGTTTATTACATCAAAAGATAGCACTGTAGCAAAGATGTTTGAATATTTTTATTTAAAAATTGATAAGGTTGGGGTTAGAGAGCAACTTGAGCAAGTGCCTTTGCCTGCCGATAAATGTAATATAGGCTTCCCATTACCGAAAAATATTTTTGGAAAAGCATTTCTGCTTGATTCGGCGTTGACTTTTTCTGAAGACGATTTGGAAGAATTGGTACATGGTGAGGAGAAAATGGTTTATGTTAAGCCAGAAAATGGGAAAGAGGAGAAGGAAATTGAAGATGAAGAAAAAGAAGAAAATAAAGAAGATGAAGAAGATGATGATGATGAGGGGAGTGTTCGTATGACTATTGTTATGTTGTTAGATATTATTTACGGAGGAAGGAAAAATGTAGGCGGTGAAAATATATTTTTGGATTTGAATAAAATACCAGAAATGGAATATAAATATGAGGTAGGGAAGAGACGAAGAATGAAAAAAATTGCTAAAAGAATCTTCCAAAAAAGTGCGAAATTATTGAGAAAAGCTGTCGAAAAAGCACAGAAAAAATTGAAAGCAGAAGAAAAACGATTTAGCTTTAATCAAATAAATTTTTTTGCAAAACAAAAAGAATCGCGTGTGAATTCATTGCCAAAAGAAGCGGAACTAAAAGAGGAAAAAGAAGAATCACTAATTTTGTCGAAAAAAGATGAAAAGAGTTCAGAAGAATCTTCAATAAATTTGTCCAAAGGACCCTTGGGAAGGAGTGTTACGTTTAATTTTGGTACATCAAATGCTGAGGAAACTGAAGGAAAACATAAAAGAAATCATTCAGAAGGTGATCATAGTCAAATT